GTTTGAGCTCTGAGCAACAGCGGTTCGAGTCCAGCCCGAGCTGAGCAGCCGCTGAGCTGCCAACAGGTAGCAGGATGGCTCAGCTAATAAAATAAAATAAAAAAATTGATGTCTCACTTAATTTTTACAGCATGTCCTTTTTATACTGGGCAGGTAACTATTTACATCATTGAGCTGTTTTTTCCAGAGTTGTTTTTCCAAGTTTAAACCTTTACCCATTAGGAAATTGTTTTCTACATAGTTTCAATGTTCTTTCCTTCCCAGGGTCTATTTTCTTTAGAATTTTGTTTTTCTCAGAGTTTTACTTCCGCACGATGTTTCTATTACAGGGTACAGCTGGATCTGTTCTTCACTAATGACTAACTTATCCTATGTTTCAATTTCTACCCATAATGGCCAGAGCTGAGTTCCTACCTTGGCACTTAAAGGATGTTTACTACTTAGCAATTGTTTCAAACACTACTGGCTAAACAGGATCCTAAGAATTATAAGGTGGATAACTTGTCTATCACTAAGAATCTATCACTAAGAAACTAACAGTAAAACAGAATTATCGTAATATGTCTAAAACTCACTTATTTGGTTAAAGTAAATAAAACAATCAATGTAAGAAGGGGCGTCAGATCTTTATCCTACTGGGGGCATCCAAAGGGGAATTTAAATTTTCCAAGACATAAAGCAGTATCTGTTTCTCAGTCAGAGCTTCAGAATTTGTCACAATAGCAGTGTGATAGGCCATGTCAGACACTGAGGTGTAGCTGGGTCCCAACACTTCATGAATCTTTCTTTCTGCAGTGTCTAATCTGCTGTTCTTATTCAATAATTTTTTTTTAAATTTCAGATATTGTATTGTTTCAGTTCTAAGATTTAGGTTCATTTTTAGAGTTTCCATGCCTTTCTAAAATTCAGTTTCCCCAGGTTTTCACTCATTATATCCATCTGTTCCCTATAAATTCCTTAATAAATCCTTGTTTGGTAATTCCAACATCTGGGCTGTCTCTGGGTCTGCTTCTGTGGACTATTTTTTTCTCTTTTGATAAGTGTCATGTTTTGCTGCTTTTTCACATATCTAGTATTATTTGACTGTATACTGGATATTGTAGATGGTAGTTATAGTAACTCTAGATTCTCTTATCTTCCTTTGAGGAGTATTGAATTTTGTTCTGGCATTTAGTTAAATTACTGGCAGATCACTACGATACTAGTGAGGCTTGGTTTTAGGTTTTGTTAGGGTAGGCCTAATTCCATTTTGCCCTTTGTCCTGGGAAATGGTCGTCATTCCTAAAGGTGTGGTCCCCTGGGGTGTCAATGGAAGGCTGCAGGTATTTTACAAGCCCTTCTAACTGAGTGGACCTTGAGGTCTTAACCTGTCTCCCATTACTGGGAAATGACTGCAATCTCTGTTTAGCTCTTTTGGCCTTCAGTTCTTGGCTCCTTGAAGTCACTCCACACGTATGCACCTTAGGACTCGAATAAGGATGTAAGGAGAGTCTGTATTTCAATTTTGTGGCTCCTCTTTTGTGGCTCTCTCTTTTCCATGTTTCCCTCCTCAATTTCCAACCACTGTGGCAGATGTACACTCTGATCTCTAATTTGTAAGCCCAATAAGACTCTTGCTTTCTGCTCTATTCGCATGTGCAGTGTGAACTTAAAAATACCCTGAGAGGAAAAGCCAGTTAAATGTGGCTCTCACCTAGTTTGTGTCTCTTGGTTTAAGGGGTGTATTGACTCTAGTTGCCTGTTTAGGTTGCTCTCCAGTGCCTTCAAACAATTACAAAAATTTCCCCCCCAGAGTTTACAGTAGCTATCAGCAGTGATATTAGTCTGACACAAGCTACTCTGCCATTTATTGCAAGCAGAACTCACCCAAAATGTATTATTATTTTTAAAAATTTTGTTTTGGTGCCCTGCTTTTCTAGATTATTAGGCATATACTTAGTCTTCATGTTGGGTAAGTCAACACTGGAGTTTGGTTGTTTGTTCTGAGAAGTTACTTGATTTAATTTAAGTTTCACTAACTAATCCAGTAAATTGGTTATTCCTGATGGCTATCAAAGTTTCAGAGGTTGAAAATAGGTCTCTAATAGTGACAACAACTTGAGTGTTTAACATTTAAAATAAACTTTATTTTCTGAAATAGATATTGCATTCATAGTTCAAAATTTTAAAGGTAAAAAGCTATACAAAAAAACCTTCACACCTCTTGTATGTGTTTAAAAAAAGGTGGCAGCTACATTTTTGATTTCTTGAATTATATAAGCAAATTGGTTGTATCCTGTCATAATCCCATGAATTCCTTGACAAACAGTTTTGTTTTGTTTTTTAAATAACATACTCCAGCAGGAATCGTTACAGAGGAAGGCATCAATTCCATTTAATTCTGTAAACATTTACTGAGCCATACAGTGTGCCCGGAACAATGTTAGCTATTGTGGATAGAAACATGAGTCATATGGTGGAGAGTGCACTTCTGTTAATTAGAAAGGAGAAGAGAGTAGAATTAAAGGACTATTTGTAAGGAAATCTGATGCCTTCTACTTGACCCAGTTGGAAGAGTTGATAAAAAAAAAAGTTCCGCCTCTGTCTAGCTGACGCCTGGACTTAAGGTTATATTCTTGGCCCTGTCTCTCTAACAGGGTGTCTCTCCAGGCCAGCAGCTGCCCTGTTTACAGCCAACCTCAGCACACGGTCCAAGAACCTTGCTGGAAGCTTGGTGTCTAGTTCAGTTTTTAGGGGCAGAGAAAAGCTAAGTCAAGATGAGAATATCGCAACAATGTCAAACTAGCTATAGTTTACAGCTGAATGGTTCCTCAAAGGGTTGAGTGTTCTTTTGCCATGTCTGAGAGGGCTGAATCCTATTCCCATCCCCTGAAAAAACATGGAGTGCCTACAACAGATGTTCTGAAAAGGCGCTGGAAGCTGAGCAAACCTACAGAGGCAGCCGCCAGCATATGCTACACACTCCTTGCATGGCCACACCTTCGGTTTCCTACAAGGGCTCGGATAGGCAAGGCAGGGTCATGTGTACATGGTGAGAGGGACTGAATGGTAGGCCAGGAGTGTTTGCTAGGGATTTGGGAATGCTGCTGAGGAGGGGTAGAAATTATGACTAGCAGTGGTCAGGTTTATTATTTGTTCCTCTGCAGGAATTTCAGATTGTGCACATTTTACCTGTGAGCTGCTCCTGGCCGGGAAATAAAACTTGTGCATCTTCCATGCTGCCTTTTCCACTGGAACTCAGATGGGGCTTGGGACTTCTGGCTACCGAAGGGAGGCAGGCCATGCCATTTTGCTTTGCTGCAGGTGGCAAGCCTACTGGAGGGCTTTTGAAGTCTTTATCTGATCCTCCATTCAAGCACTCAGAACAAAATAAATGTATAAACACCATTCTTTCCTTTGATGATGTAAAAAAAGTCTCTAGAGAGCAGGGGCTGGTGAATGGAAATTAACTGCACAGAGTCCACAATTATTCTCTTGAGATGTATAAGAAGGTCATTGATAGTTTATTTACCATGCTGTCCTTATGGCTTAATTTTAGTGACTGTTAAAGAAAAAAAAAAGATTGATAGGCTTTTCTTTCATTTCCAACCTTCTGTTCCCTAATAATTCTCCCTTTCTTCATGAGGCTTAATTTATTCAATGGGGGTTTTCAGGAATTGAATTTTTATGGTGGGAGGGACTAGAGCAGCACCAAAAGAAATATAATGCAAGCCACATACATTTAAATTTCCAAGCAGCCCCATTAAAAAGGTAAAAAGAAACAGTTGACATTAATCTTTAATAATTGTAACCAACCCAATATGTCTAAAATATAATTTCAACATGTAGTCATAAAATTATTGATGAGTTCTTTCAGCTTTATTTGGGTATTGAGTCTGAGATCTGGTCTGTATTTTACAGTTACAGCACATCAATTCGGGCTAGCCACATTTCAAATGCTCAAGAGGCACATGTTGCTAGTGGCTACTGTATTGGGCTGTGTAGGCTACAGTAATGCCCTTGAGGTGGTGGTGGTGGGGGGCTACACATGCAGACAACACACCCTCCAGGCCAAATTCTAGGAGAGCACAACTGATGATACAGGCAGGAGGGGGTTTAGAATGGGGTCAGATGCTGGGATTCCAGCTGAGTTTTGCCGATTGAGGTAACTGGCAGGCAAAGGGGAGGGTGTTGTGGGTGGGGAATCCTGTGTAAGGTCTGGAAAGCAGAAACAGGCCATTTGGAAGATGCAGCTTTGCAGGAGGTATGAGAACTTGTGAAGGGCTGAATTCTGCCACGTGGACAGGTAGGTCACCTGTGCAGACCCTCTGGCTGACGGTTGCTCGTTTTTTGGTCTTTTCTCCCCTTCCCCAACCGTGCCCCAGCAGTGGTCCTCGGCCTGCACAGCGCCTGGGCTGAGGAGGCCTGCACGCGCACCTGCCCCTTAGCCTGCGCCTGCAGTAGCACTGAACGCGGTTGCACAGTGTGCTGCGACCGTGCCGGCCTCCTGCAGGTGCCAGCTGAGTTCCCGTGCGAGGCAGCCTCCATCGACCTGGACCGGAATGGCCTGCGCTTCTTGGGCGAGCGGGCTTTCGGCACGCTGCCATCGCTGCGCCGCCTGTCGCTGTGCCACAACAACCTGTCCTTTATCACCCCGGGCGCCTTCAAGGGCCTGCCACGTCTGGCAGAGCTGCGCCTGGCACACAACGGCGACCTGCGCTACCTGCACGCTCGCACCTTTGCCACGCTCAGCCGCCTGCACCGCCTAGACCTGGCTGCTTGCCGCCTCTTCAGCGTGCCTGAGCGCCTCCTGGCCGAACTGCCTGCCCTGCGTGAGCTCTCTGCCTTCGACAACCTGTTCCGCCGTGTGCCCGGTGCGCTGCGCGGCCTGGCCAACCTGACACACGCGCACCTGGAGCGCGGCCGCATCGAGGCTGTGGCCTCCAGCTCCCTGCAGGGCCTGCGGCGCCTGCGGTCGCTCAGCCTGCAGGCCAACCGCGTCCGCGCCGTGCACGCTGGCGCTTTCCGTGACTGTGGTGCCCTGGAACACTTGCTGCTCAATGACAACCTGCTGGCTGCGCTGCCGGCTGATGCCTTCCTCGGCCTGCGCCACCTGCGCACACTCAACCTGGGTGGCAACTCGCTGGGCCACGTGGCGCGCGCCTGGTTTGCAGAGCTGGCCGAGCTCGAGTTGCTCTACCTGGACCGTAACAGCATCGCCTTCGTGGAGGAGGGCGCCTTCCAGAACCTCTCGAGCCTACTCACTCTACACCTCAACAGCAACCACCTTACCGTGCTCACCTGGGCCGCCTTCCAGCCTGGCTTCTTCCTGGGCCACCTCTTTCTCTTTCGCAACCCTTGGCGCTGTGACTGCGGCCTGGAGTGGCTGCGCGACTGGATGGAGAGTGCCGGGCACGTTGCTGATGTGTCTTGTGCCTCCCCGGGCTCTGTGGCCGGCCTGGACCTCAGCCAGGTGGCCTTTGGGCGCTCCTCGGATGGCCTCTGTGTGGACCCCGAGGAGCTGAACCTCACTAGGTCCGGCCCAGGCCCGTCCCCAGAGCCAGCGGCCACCACTGTGAGCAGGTTCAGCAGCCTCCTCTCCAAGCTGCTGGCCCCGAGGGCCCCAGTGGAGGAGGCGGCCAACACCACCGAGGGACCAGTCAATGCTTCACTGTCAGACAGCCTTATATCTGGTGGGGTGGGAGGCTTGGACCACAACACCCCATTTCTCCTTCATTCCAGTCTCCTGCTCAGCGTGGCCCAGCACGTGGTGTTTGTCCTACAGACAGACTGACCCTGCTACACTGGGGTGGCCCAAACTGCCTGGGGCAGTGTGGAAAATTTTAGTTCACTGGGCCCCAGGGTGTTTGTGGTGGGAGGAGAGGAGAACAGAATGGGGTAGGCGATGAAAATTCTTGCAGAAGGTGGAAGGAATAGTTTGCCTCCAGAGATGGCCCTAGGAAGAGTACAACCCTGGGAAATGCCATGCAGTGGGTGGGGTATGGATTTCTGCTCATGTCATATGGGCATCAATTGGAAAAGAGAAGCAAGAATGAACATGAGACCTCTGGTAAGAAGGCTAGGAATTGGAAGCTCCTAGGGCCTCAGGGCTCCACCCCCATCCCTTCCCCACCATCTTCCCAGAAAGAGGGACTGCAATACCTGAATTCAAGTCAGTCCATTGGCTAAATACTAAGAACTGTGCTGGTTTTCTTGGCCGGGCAACCCATTAGGCCCAATCTCTTTGTTTTCTACCACAATCCGCCTTCCCCTGGACCTGGGGACACGGGGGTCCAGGAAGATGGACAGGACAGGGGAGAAGAGGAATGGGAGAGGGACTTAGACCTAAGAAGGTGGTGGTGGTTCCTAGGATCTGAGAAGTTAGGAGGCAGTTAAAATAAAGATCCATTTCATTTATTCCACAATGATTCCTAGGGGTGGCCTTAGGCACAAAGGAACTTTAGGGTAAGGTAGGGAAAAAAAGAGGGGGAAGTGTCTCTGAACAAATAAATTTACAAAATTCTAAGATTAAAAAAAAATGCTAAACAGGTTTTTCTACTGCCTGGACTTTTCAGTCTTCCATAGGCAAACATGCATTGTGAATCTCCGGGGGCGGGGGGGGGGGCGGGGCACAAAATCCTCTTTTCTTAGTGTTTTGTGGACAAGAGTATCCCGAAGACACAGAGATGCTATGTTAGCAGGACAGGGAGTCTCCAGCTTGGATGATCCTATTAGGTGTGGAAATTATTATGGGCTGCACACTTTGGGGCTGACTAATGGCCAAGAGGAAAGGAGGCAGCCAGTAGGTGGGAAGCAGGGCTGAGAGATTTCCCAGGGCGGGAGTTGGTCAACTCTAAGTCTCCAGGTATCAGAACACAGGCTGTATGTCTGCTAAATACTTGCTCAAACTGTTATCCACACGTGGGTAATTTTTTTACTATATTTGTCAACATTCTGGAAATCCCTAATCTTAATGTCCCCAGTTCCTCTCTCTGTTTTTGAGGACGTGGGTTGTCAAGGCCCACACAGATTCAAGGTGCACCCAGCTGTCGGTTCTTTATGATGACAGTACTTCTTTTGTGTCTCTAGGTAATATTAAGTATTAGAAATGTTGCAGAAAGCACCACTGAGGGCAAAAGTGTTCAAGTGGGTTGTGACCATTAGTGGTCATCAACTCAATTTAATGGGTTACAACTGGTATTTTAAAAACAAGATAAAACACAAAAGTCACAGAGCATCACATGCAATATTATAAGAGTAAGTATTGTTTTGTGAAATTTTATTTAATTTGTATGCATTTGTTCAGATTATATATGTATGTATGTGTCTGGGTTGTTGCACACAATCTATATTTTATTGTGAGTTAGCATTAAAAAGTTTGAAAGTCACTAAGCTGGAGCATGCATGATTTTTTAAAACAAGTTTTTATTTTGAAAAATCTCAAACCTACAGAAAAGTTGCAAGAATAGTGGAATGAACACTTTGGACATTTACCTAGGTTTTCCAGTTGTTAACATTTTCCTATATTTGCTTTCCCTCTCCCTCCATATCATTATTATTTTTACTAGCAGTTTCAGTTAGTTGCAAACATCATGACCTTCTACCCCTAAATACCTCAGCATGTATTCCCTAAGAACAAGGACATTCTCTTATCCACAACACCATTATCAAAATCAGGAACTTTGTCTTCAATACAATTATTTAAAATATACTGTATATTGAAATTTCAACAGATATCTCGCTGATTTTTTTAAGCAATCGTTCTTTTTCCTGTGGGTGGAAAATGAGGTTCCTGGGTCGTGGCTTGTGTTCATTTGATCATAATACTCCAAAATTCTAAATCCGTCTACTGATTTTAATGTTTCAAAATAAATTCATTCTCCAAATGTCTTATTTCCAAATGTGAGAAGCAGATGAGGTCAGAAATGTTTGTTCAAACCATGTGTTGTGGCCATGGGAACTGAGTGAGGATCACGAGAATTGTGGAGAGCAGATCTTTGCGTTTGGGTAACCACGGAAGCCCACAGCAGACATGCAGCCTGCGTTACTGAGGAACAAGATGCTGCCTTGGGAGGAATGTCCTTCCTTTCATTTGGAGCGGGTTTCTGAGAGCCAGCCTCAAAACGCTGCTCTAGTTCTGCCTGGGTGGTTAGATGGCCAGCTTTTTAAGGAACATTTGTTTGGCTGAATGTTTTTGAGCAAGTATCAACACTGAAATAGCCTCCGGGGAGACAGATTTTTATAGAGCTACCTAGTGCAGTAGAATTCTGGGAATGTGGGAGTTACTTACTTTCAAACAGAACCAGAGTTGCCTGGAACGAGTTCCCAGTGAATTGTGGCCTTTATGAGCTCTCATGAGAGAAAGGGGAATGGAGAGTTCCCAGTTTTGAATTTATTTTCTCACCCCATCATTGGCTAATTAGTATTTTGGGAAATATTAAGGTACTATGAATTCCACTAAGCAAAACTATGCGTACCTGTCAGGATGGATCATATTATGCTGTGGTAACAAATGCCTCCCCTCCCCCCCCCAGTTTTCAGTGGCTTACTGAGGGTTATTTCTTGATTATGCAACATATCTAAAATGAGCTTATTAGGGGGCTCTGCTCATTCGAGCCACTCAGGGACCCAAGCTGATGAAGCTGCCATTTTAGGACATTGTTATCCAAACATGGGCTCTAGAGTTTGCTGCAACCGAGAAGGAAAGCTTGGGAGAATCATGCATCACTCTTAAATGCTTCCACCTAGATATGACACACGTTGCTTCTCACATTTCAATGGCCCCAAATGTCACACAGCCATACTTAACGTCACCAGGACAGGAAGTAATGTCCTCCCATGTGCCCAGAAGGAGAGAAGTGGGAATATTGGTGAACGCTAGCAATGTTCTAAAGTACTAGTGGCTCCAGGCAGCTCGCCTGATAGAATCAAGCCTGGCTTCTTAGAACTGTCAGAAGAAACAGACACTTGAGGGGGAAATCTAGTGAACAGGCCGCTAGCCCCAGTCTTTCTCCCCTCCCAGCACCCCAAGTAGGCCTTGAACACAATATTTGCTCCAGCCAATAGGAACACCATGGCCTCATTATATTGGTTCTTTCAAGGAAGGGGAGAGAACATGTAGAGACAAAAGGTTCATATTTTCCCCTTTAAAAAATGTTTTCCACACAAAGACTCAAATTCCCAGAAGCTCAATCACTGGGAAATTCCCTTTCACAAAGCCCCCTGGCTGTTTCTAAGAGGATGCTCTGCCAGCTGGGCCTTGGTTTCGCAAGCATGGTCATCAGCCCTCAGGCCCACCCACCTCTTTGTCAGGCCACCACAATGCTGCCCTCCAGAGGACACCGTCTGCTGGGCACAGCTGTCCTTGGCTGTTGGTTCCCTCTGCCATCTTCGCCCAGACTTCAAGGGAGGAAACCCTACTCTCCCCTTTGACCCTCCGGCCTAAGGACAGCTTAGACTCTGCCACTGAGTCCCTCACACCACAGAAGAGCACACCAGCTGAGAAGCAAAGGAGACTTTTCCAAAGGGTTGGGTATAATGCAAGAGAAGTGAAGTAGTCCCTCTGACCATGTATGTGGTTGTTGGCAGAACCCTCAGACGCCAGCTCCCTCAGAGACCTCTGTACCTTTAACTTCCTCGCCAACCCGCAAGCGCTGGGAAGGCCTGGGCCTCCCTGAGTTTCCGAAACCAACTCCCAGGGAGGCCTTTTTCCTGTCTCCCAGCCTAAGGCCCACCCCCTCAACCCCACACAGGAACAGAGGCTGGTCTTGCCCTCGGCAGCATGCCCCATAAGATGTCACACACAGACCCACAGTGAGGTCCATCAGAGCTGAAGGGGCCAGTCAAGTCCAGATCCTCAGTCCGCCTGTCTGTCTCCTGGCCAGCCCCTTCTTCACCCCAGTCCGCATTGCCTGAAAACTGCTGCTCAGAGCTCCAAAATAACAATAGTTTTGAGGACACCAGGTAGCCTAAAGTTGCACAGAGTCAAGTAATCCTTCTCCCCCCAAAACTCCAAAGTCTGGGGGAGACACAGCACTGATAAAAGATATAGCAATTTTCCCTCCTTTTTAAATGTTACATGCATGATTAACTTTTTTTTATCTTGAAAAATATTCCCTCTTTCTGTTATCAAACAGGACACTTCACTTCCCTCTCTGAGACTGTGTTCATGTGTCCCCCCCAAGAGCAAGGGGTGGGCCCTGCTTTTTTCTATGTGCACCGGGTCTGATGGCTTCACAGAGCAGAGGACAGGCTTTCCTGGAGGCCCACACAAGTGTCCACCCTAGGTGGCAGAAACTGCTTGGGTTTCCAGGTTCCAGAAGTCTGAGAGCTCCGTCTCCACCCTGTTCACTCTCTTGGCCAGGGAGCGTCTCTGTACCTACTAGCTCTTCTGGGTGATGTGGACAGAGGGGCCTTGTAAGTCCTTGTGGCCAGTGTGGTAAGGAAAGGCTGAAGGGGACAAGAGTCATACCAGGGGAGGTGGTATTTTTATGTTTTAAGCAGTAATGACTACTAAATTGCTGCTTTCTGCCCCCTCGAGACACACACACACACACACACACACACACACACACTCTCACAGGGGTTGGGCTGAAGAGTCCTGAGCAGCCCCTGGTCTCACTTTGGCGTCTGTCTCCCTGAAGCCTGTGGTACAAAGCTGAAGTGAAACATGGCTCCCTTCATGGTGTGCCTGGCCAACTTCAGTTGCTGAATGAATGTTACTCATATTCCTTCTATTTGTGTTCCAGGCAGAGAAAATTTAGAAGCACTCGTACAAACATTTGCAATTTTCAGAGGAGTTCCCTTGAAATGTTGCTGACTTTTACAACTGTGATCCTGAGAGGAGAAAAAGAGAGCTTTTGTTCACAGCCAGACTGAGTGAAACACCAAGCCACAGGGAGGCCTGTGGAGGGCTTACTACCTCTGTGGTTCCCAGCTGCCTAGCAGGAGTTCTCTCTGGGCCTACATGACCTCGTGGCCAAGGTCTCCTCATAGCTCACTCACATTCCATTAGCTGCTCATGGCATCGGTAGTGGCATTCAGCATTAAAAAACAATAGTGACAGAGTAGACAGGGGAAACTTCAGCATGCATCACAGATAGTAAAAAATATATATTATTTCATTAAACTTTTGCTTCAGTGTGTGTGTGTGTGTGTGTGTGTGTGTGTGTGTGTGTGTGTCTGTACTGGATCACAATATAAACATATCTCTCACTGTGGATCACAATCGTGAACATTTTTCTTTTTTTCTTTTTTTTACAATCATGAACATTTGAAAGCCAGTGTCAGATCAGTTTGATTCCTTGTTTGTTCTCAAAGAATGTGGGGTTGAAAGTCAAGTGCAGGACTGTTTTGTTTGTTGATTATTCTTCTCCCAGCCAATTAAATTTCTTGCATCACCACCAAAAAGTGGACTTGCCTTTTTTATATCCTGTTTTTTATATCCTGTTAGACCTCATTGGGTCAAAAGAAGCAAGATTGGGCATTTTGAAGAGCACCCGGGCAATTAGCAATTGGAATCGAGGTGTTCTTTGATCTGCTGAAGAGGCAGGGTGAAGTGGTGTGTGCAGCCCAGGTAGCTAATAAGTGTGGAGCTCCTGCAGAGGCCTGCAGAGCACTGATGGCTGTTTCATTTAATAAGTTAATAATTAATAAGGATAATGTCTTTGAATGACCCTCCTGGTGTCTTCCAGTGATATCTATTATCAAGCATCCAATAACATGAAAAAAACCCAAACAACAACAAGGGTAAATGATTACAGAGATTGAGATTGTTTAGGATAAACCCTGTTATATCACCTCTGTGCCCTGTTCATAATATTATATATAACTGCCTTTACAAAATGTTTCTAATTCTATTCCAAAATACCTGTTGCTCTGGAATTCAAATGGTTACCATTATTGACTACCTACTATATTTCAGATACTCAGTGTCTAATCATCTAATTATTTCATTTAGGTATTGTTATCTCCATTTTACAGATGTAGAAATGGGGGTTTAGAGAATTAAGTGACTTGCCAAAGGTCTACAGCTAGTAAGTGGCAAAATTAGGATTTGAATCCAGGTCTCTAAGCTCCAGATACAGAGTAAACTTTTTTCTCTAGATAGTGATGCCACGCTTTTCACCTCTGGGAACTTATCTCTTCTGGAGCTAAGAGTTGAAGTTCAGAGGAAAAGACTGAAAATTTCTATCACAATCTCAGACAAACTTATTTTAAAATTTATACAGAGAGGCACAGGCCCTAGAATAAATAGCTAAACCAATCTTGACAAAGAAGAATAAAGTGTTAGGAATCATTCTATATGATATTTAAGTTTTACTACATAGCTACAGTAATCAAGACAGCATGGTAATGTAAAAG